AGTATATCTAAAATTTGATGTCATTTGTATAAATGAAGAAAAATATTGTTTGCTCTGTTTAAATAATTTTGGCTGCTATATATGTTAGAAAATATATCTTACATTGATGTTAAATTATTTCATGAGATTATTAAAACCATACTAATCTACACTTTTTTATAGTACGAAATTATTATTAATATCATAAAGAATGAGCAAGTCATTAATATTTACAGAAGTATAAGGATCTATTTGATTTAAATACGTAATTTCATATTCAATCTTTTCATTTTCTATGACTCTCAATAAATTGTACAGGTCACTCATATATAATATTCTAACATGCTGTCTGAACATTTTCGTTACCTATAATATTTATTTGTCATGAATTCATTTTTCGAAGTTAATTGAAGTCAATTTCATGAACATTTCTGGTTTCATGTTCATGACAGAACATCGAGAGAAACATTTACATTTTTTCATTCCATAGATCCATATATTTAAATGTGCTTTCTTAAATGATTAATTTTCTTATTCTAAGGTTGCCATATTTTCGCTTGAAGTTACCTACATATTTGTTGTTGTGGCGATAAATCATTTCCATAATGAAATGCTTGCCTTTCGTTTTTAAACACATATCCGTTCGTTGTAGACATATAGTGCTCGCCTCGTTCATATGCCACGAGAATGTTCGACAGTTTGGTAAATTAGAAAACGAGTATCTTCGGAGTTAATTGCATTATTGCATGTAGAATGTTAATGTAGGCTCTATGTCCTAAAGTTCTATCGATTAGTATCCTCGAAGTTCACGGAAAACAAGAATTCAGACATAAAGAGAAATGATGCATAACGTCTGTGCTACCACTATCTCGGATATAATGAAAATCTATTCGTTTCTTTTACCAAACTCGTTTCGTAATCAAGTTATTATATCATTGACAAAGCAAACTTTTCTAATATTCCTTCATAAAAGTTTGATTACACGTAATGATGATTACATATTACATATAACATATATGATAGCACTTCCAAATCTAGAAACATGTCAAGTTTTCAATAGAGAAAAATCAGAGGTCTGAATTTTAGTATTATGAATTATTTCTCAATAAAAGTCAAATTTTTTCAACTGATATTTTTTACAAAACTTGTAAAGCACAAATTACATTTAGAGTACACCATTCCTGTGGCATTTCCAATAATCTCACGAAGTATGTCCTAAATCAGAATTAATCTGCTTCGATTTAGGTACAAATTACAATAAAAGATGTTAAAAAAACCTGTTTCCCTTAATCAAAGTCTTGATTTTTGCGAATGACACTGTATTTTTTATTTGTGAGAATTGTAGTCGATACTCAAAACATTAATATGAAAAATTATTTCTCTCCGATCGAATTTTATATCTCTACTGTTGTTGTCCAATGTCAGTTGTCATGTTACTTTGAATATGTAATACTGTTGCAACAAATTAATTTTTGACATTAAAGTTTTTAATCATTGAATTAAAATTTCTGAATGCGATCGATCTTTGTATGAACTACGGCCCCACTCAATGAAATAGATAATATAATTTGTAAAAATCAAGGTGTCCTTGATTTGCTATTGCATTATGGGGAATATCACAAAATGGTAGATACTGTACTCTATATATATACTCCAGCAGCAAATGGATTAATACCTCTTATACATTCTCTGGTCACTTCGCGTAATTTGTTATTCATTTCTCTTAATGCAAACGGAAACCGTAATCGCTGTAATGAAATAACCCTTCCCAATGGGGATGTGTGGACTTCTTGATCAGCAAGAACAGCATCGTCCCGTCGTTAGCAAAAGGTTGACCCCTGTGTGCATGTGTTGTCACCCATCATTATTAACAAGTCATTATTGTTTGTTGGTGTTCAGTCATCGGCAACGCCACCTAAGACGCCACAGGATGCAAACAACGACGTAAGTATGCCAAACAATATCATGAAAACACAGACCTAGCTTTCTCCTCCTGAAACACACATAATTGGTCACTCGACATCATCTGGTACCGTAATCATACCGGAAGCCAAATCATGAATTCGAAAATTGTGAGGGAAGTAATTGATAGAAAGTATATAATTAGAATCTATGATCACGATGTTCTATCAGTATTTACCAAATTTCGCTTAGTATTTACCAAATTCTGAACCGTAAACGAAAACTCGCAAATTCGTTGGATGAATTTCTATTCTTATCTCGTTCAGAAAATAGAACATACATTCTCGATACTAATTAAATTCGATCTGGAGTAAGTATGTGAAATCGGTACGGAGAAGTAGAAGCATGCTTCTGCATGTACTACCTTAGTGTACATATTTGTTTCGAGCAGGAAATCTCAGCTGTATGCTAAACGCGAATTTAGTTTAGAAAGCACGTACGATGCCCCGAGAAATCAACTGACAGATAATTGAGACGTTTTCATCGGCGAACTTTCTATTTAATATTTTCTTTTCTAAATAGCATAGCTAATGGTTCACAAAACTTGATCGCAAACGTTGTTTTCAGTAGTCGATCGACTTCAATTTACAGTTGAGCGAGGATTAATAGATGGCTCGTTACACTACTTTCAGATCCAAACGGTGAAGGTCGATATCAAAGCTGAGAGCAAAATCGGATCTCTGGATAACGTGAAGCACCGACCAGGTGGCGGCGACAAAAAGATTTTCAACGACAGAGATTATCTTCGACAAACTGGCTCGAACGTGGAAAGTCAGTGCGCCAGTGGATCACAGGTATGATTTTTGTGTAAAGTCTTAACGAGACAAACTGATGCAACGACGATCGAAAGGTTTCGATTCGAATCACTAATCAAAAGAACATTAAAATTAATCACTCATTGTTTAGATACACAAATGTGTACAGTAATTTTGTTTATATGGTACAACGCTTTGAAATTGCACCAACTTCGTCGAAATTTTTATGGTTTATATGAGACGTATAAAATGGGCAATATATGTAGAATGACAATGAATCTTCTTAATAAGATGAACAAGTCAAATATACATATATTTTACAAAGTCGTTTGCTATTTTTACATTAATGCAATTAAATGATAAGAACTGAATTTTATACCTCATTCGAATTGTAAAAATTAAGATATAAACTTGGAAATCATCATAGTTTCAAGTTTACCATTAAATAAATTGCCTGTTACGATGCGTTTTGTATCACTGTGTATATTTTCTGCTGAAAATGCTTCAAGACACGCATTGTACGCTTTTTTGCAATATTGAACATCTTTTGATTAACATAAGAAATAAACAACGAAGTTATTTCTACTTTTTTAAATTACTATTTCTAAAACAATTAATGTAACAGTAACTGATACATAAATTTATTAAAAAGTAGATTTAAAAATACAAAAACATGAATTTTCGAAGAACAAAATATGACTTAAGATAATTAATAATTTATTGATTTTTCTTATTTACAAGAAAACAAACATATAAATAGATAAATGAAGCAATGAAGCTTTAATATTTCGCTTTATATTAGTTGCTTAACCCTTTGAGGCACGTATTTCAATTGCTTTTATATTTTCTTACGTAACTAATATTTTTAGCAAAATCTAGGCGCACTTACAATTTAAATAATTGAAAACGAC